CGAACGAGATGGGCACGGAAAGAATGGGTACGATGCCCAACAGCAGTTCCTGAACAGGACTCGCTGTCGGTGCCGCCGCGGCCTGTGTCCATTCGAGACAGAAGGCCGCCTGCCCAACAGCGGCCGCCGTTGTACCATTGTACCCATTCTTCCCGTACCCATTTCGGGCGTCCAAAACTGGCCGCCGCACTGGTCCTGGCCCCCGTCGGTGTTCTAGGGGGGGGGGGGGGGGAAGAGCCCCCTCCCGAGTCGAAGGTGGTGGCCAAGTCGCCAACCGCAGTCAGGGATATCAGTTGCCACGCTGAAAAGTCATGTAAGGGGCACGCTTAGGTGTCACTGGGAACTAAACCATACAAACCAGTTTTGGGCGAGCCCCCCGAAGAAGACGACGCTGAACCGAACCACCCGCAACACGGGTCACCCCCTTCGCAGCCGTATCCCTTACGCGAGCCGCACAACACCGGCGGGGATCCGCGCACCTGATGCCCAAGCTCCCCCCCTGAAAGTTGAGCCAGCAACCAGGTGTCGGCAGATTGCTGCACAACCAGTGTAGATTGGGGCGCAGGGAGGGAGACACTAAGCGTCAAGGAGCCCCAGGCGCCAAGGAGTCCAGCGCGTCGCATGGCAGCTCCCCCAGCGGGCCCGTGATCCCAAACCCGGAGTCTCAGCGGCAGGCCCTCCTCTGGCCGCCAGCGACAGGGCAATGCCGCCGTCCATGCACGCCCCTGCCCCGCAGTTGAGGCAGGGGCCGTCTGCGTCTGCTGTAGTCCCCGTCCAGCCTTGATGCCCTCCGCCGCTTGTGGGGAAAGACGGCCTTTTACAAAGCCCGCAGCATCAACTTACATCCGGCCACCACGATGAGGTTCATCTCCCTCGCCCTCTTACTCCCCTCCCTCCCCATTCCCCTATTCTCCCTCCTCTTCCTTCTCGGACGGTTTCCCTGGAACCAGTCCCAAGCCCAGGCCTTCCCTGACCGTGTATTGGAGTTAGCCTGAATGGGTGACGCAACGAAGCTCCTCCTCCACTTCCTCCTCAGTCTTTCTCGTCCTCCTCCTCCTCGCCCTCAATGAAAAAGTGGAGATTTGAAGCTTCACACGTTTCTCTGGGTGGGCCCGTCCTGAAGTCTTCGGCCGATAGGGCCGATCCTATTGCGTCAGTGCAGCTTTCTCGAACTGTCACCTGCATGGTTCGTTCGTTCCCCTTCCCCCGCCCTCGTCCTCCTCTTCCTCCTCCTCCTACCCTCTTCATCTCCTTACTTCCGATACTTCTGTTTCTTCTCCTCCTTGTTCTGAGCTCGTTCGATGGGCTGGCGCGCTGTAGTAGTTCAACATCTTGTAGGCAGTCGCATGTTGTCTTGCCCCACTAGGGCTTTGTCCAGCCAGGACTTAAAGCGTTCACTGTTCTCGTCCCCCTTTCCGTCCTCCTCTCTCATGATGTCCCGCTCCTCCTCCCTTCCTCTCCACCTTCCTTCGTCCTTCTCCCTCCCTCCCTCCCTCAGGGGGGGAAAAACACACAGACACAATTAATCGTCGATCCCCAAGAAAATATGGGAAACTATGGGAAATGGGGGGACGACAAAAACCCAGAAAATATGGGAAAATATGGGGGATTATTTTATTTGTGTGTATTCATGTGTGTGTGTGTGTGTGTGTGTGTATCCCAGGGCCCCTTCATTTACACTCGTCCTTCTCCCTCCCTCCCCTTCCCTGCCTCCCCTTTCCCTGCCTCTCTCCTCCGGCTCGAGGGCACTTTGCCCCACCCTCCCCTCCCCTCCCTCCCTCCCTCCCCCCCCTTCCCTGCCTCCCCTTTCCCTGCCTCTCTCCTCCCGGCTCGAGGGCACTTTGCCCCCCACCCGCCGCTGCTGCACAGAGGAGGCCGCCGCGGCTCCTCGTCCCGGGGGCCCCGCCGCGCCATGGCCGCGCCGGGGCCTCGGCGCGCCGAGCCGTGCGCAGAGGGCAGCGGGTCGTCCTCGTCGCCGCTCGCGGTGATGGTTGTCGTCTGCGCCGCCTCCCTCGTCGGACAGCAGGGGTCGTTTCGAGCCCCCCGAGTCGATTCGAGCCGATTTCGGTGGCTTCCAGTTCCGATCCGATGCGGGTTCGGATTCCGATGTTGGGCTCCTGTTTCTCTCACTGGAGGCCTGCAAGCCTGCCGATTTCCGCAGATTCGACTTCTCCCGAGTCGGCTGCCGATTTCACAACTGTCAGGAGGGGAAAAACACGCAGACACAATTAATCGTCGATCCCCAGGAAAAGATGGGAAACTATGGGAAGTGGGGGGGGAGACAAGAACCCAGAAAATATGGGGAAATATGGGGGAGCCTTTTATTTGTGTGTGTATTTGTTTGTGTGTCCTGGGGCCCCTTGAAACTGGTCGTCCTCGTCGCCGCTTGTGGTGATTGTTGTCGTCTGCGCCGTCTCCGTCGTCAGAGTAGGGGGAACTCAGGCGAGGGAAAGGTACCGATGCCGTCAACCTTGGGGATCAGGGAGTTCGAGGCTTGAAGTCGGGCATGTCCCTCGCACAGGAGGAGGATCCGAAAACAGTCAAACTCTCGAGCATTTTCGGGCGTCTTTTCTTTTTTCTCCGTCCAGGATCCGCCTGTAGGGGGAGGTGCCCGACCTGACTCGAGGCCGGAGGGGCACGGGAGGGGTTGGTCAGGAGGAGAAAAAGCACAGACACAATTAATCGTCGATTCCACCCGCCAAGGACGAGCACGACGACAACGCCGACGACGACGCCGACGACGACGACGCCGACGACGACGACGACGATGACGAGCGCGCCGAGGACGACGACAACGCTTCACGCCTGCCTGAGATGAAGGCACTGGCACCGCTGGTTGTCCTTCGACGCCCTCGTCGCCACGGCATCATCTCTCCTCGGGATGCTGGCGGGGACGGGCCCCCTCGAGGCTCCGAGAGCGGCGGAAGCGGTACGTCCTTGTCCCCCAGCAGAAGCGGGGATGATGGTCATCACGATGATCTTGATACCGATAGTGATGATGAGCAGGATGATGTTGATGATTCCGCCGGATGGCGATTGGGGGATCAGGACATGGGGGGATGAGTATCGGGTACCGCTTAGTTGGGGTACAAATTGTACCTTCTCTGCGGGTTGCAAGTACAAATTGTACCTTCTCCCCCCCGTTAACATCCTCGCACATGTCGCGGACGTTGTCAAGAGTACAATTTGTACCTTGTCTGCGTGGCGTTAGTACAAATTGTACCTTCTCCGTGGGGCGTAGGTACAATGTGTACCTCGGTTGCGCCTCTCTCCCCATCTGGACTTATCCCCCCATTTGCATCCCGCCAAATGATGATGATGCTGCTGATGATGATGATGACGATGCTGATGATGCTGATGATGCTGATGACGATGCTGATTATGATGCTGATGATGATGCTGATGATGATCATGCTCATGCTGCCGGGGATGATGCTGATGACGATGCTGATGATGATGCTGATGATGCTGATGCTGCTGCTGCTGATGACGACGACGATGATGATGATGATGATGATGATGATGATGATGATGATGATGATGATGATGATGATGATGATGATGATGATGATGATGATGATGATGAGATGAGGAGGAGGAGGAGGAGGAGGAGGAGGAGGAGGAGGAGGAGGAGGAGGAGGAGGAGGAGGAGGATGAGGAGGAGGAGGAGGAGTTGTTGGTGACGATGATTTCCTAGGAAGAGGATGAGGGGAACGACGAGGCCGAAGAGGAGACGGAGGAGCACCTGAGATGATCCTATTTGGGTGCCCCAGGTCGAGGCTAGGGACCTGATGAGGAATCGGACACATGGGAGTTGGATGAGGTTAGCGGAGGAGAAGGAGGAGGTTTGTCAGTACTCGCCTCCTGATCCCAGTTATTGCCAGTATGTGAACTAAAGCCCGATCGGTGTGCGACGGAATGACGATTATTGTCTTCGCTATCAAACATTTGAAGGGACGCCCCCTACATTCACCCCAAAGGGGGCAAGCTGGGTCGGAATGCCAGCACCTTGCAATCCAATGCTGCAGGACGGGCTACAATCTACACAACTTTTCATGGATCTCGTAGACGAGATCTTGGTCTGCCCACGTCGGCCGTCGCCGATTCGCGAGGACCCGCGAAGCGACGCTGACCAAGACAGACGGCTTCCAGGAACGGCGCCAAGGTTTCGCGTCCAGTCGTGGCCCTGGCTCCGTTTCTTCCCCCGAAGAGCCTTCGGAGGTCCTCGGCCGTGCGCGTCGTCTCGCAGTCCTCCGAGGGGCGCTGGCCCCGCGGCGGCCCCTTCTGCGGCTGCGCCTCGGCGAGAGCGCTCGGGGAGCGCCCGCGTCGGCCCGAACGGCCGTCGGAGGCTTGGCTCCCAGTCATCCGGCGCAGTGTTTGGTCACACCGTGCCTCCCCAGAGGCTTGGACGTCATCGCAAGGACCATCAGCCGCGCGCCGAGGGTATGCAGAGGAGGGAAAGGTACCCGTACCTCTGTCCTTCGGCCGTTCTCCTCTTTTTGGGGGCCTCCTAGCAGGCCCTCGTCGCCACCGCTGGATTCGCCTCGAAATTCTGGTCCGAAGGCACCCCAGGGGAGGTCTGGGGGCTAGCGGGATGGGTACCTTTTGGTTTCCCCAGGTCTGAAACGTGACCGAGTTTAATTAATCTCGGTCGCGTTTCACCTAGGGCTTCTTCCAAGTTAAATCCCTGTGCCGAAATCACAAGCCACTGCTGACGGCCTCTGCGCCTCCTCCTCCTCCTCCTCCTCTCGCCATCTCCTCCCTCCTTCCCTCCATGCACCCTCCATCCCCCGTCCCTCCCAGGTCAGGCCCGAGGGGGGGAGGCTTCCTCGAAGCACCCCTGCTCCTTGGAAGGCGCGGGCCTCGCGCCCGACGTCCTCGCGACGGCGCGGGCCTCGCGCGTATTTGTAGGGCTGTCGCCCTCGACGCCCGCGCGACGGCCTCCCCGGGGGGCGCCGAGAGGCCAGCGCCCTCCTCCGCCCGCCGGCCGGGGCCCCGAGGTCTGACGGGGACGTCGACGTGATGCGGCACGTGGCCACCCCGGTGCGCGGCGGGCCCGGAGACCTGCAGCCCGCGAAGCGGCCGAGGGCGCGCCACAGGGGGGAACCTCCTCCTCCTCCTCCTCCTCCTCCTCCTCCTCCTCCTCCTCCTCTCAAAGAGGAGGAGGAGGAGGCGGAGGAGGAGGAGGAGGAGGAGGAGGAGGAGGAGGAGGAGGAGGAGGAGGAGCAGCAGAGAGGAGGAGGAGGAGGAGGAGGAGGAGGAGGAGGAGGAGGAGGAGAAGGGAAATGAGGAGGAGGAGGAGGAGGAGGAGGCCTGCCCAGGACTGCAGCAGAGCACAGGGATGGCCAGGCAGAGACGCTTGGACCGCCATGTCCGCGGGCGGCGTGAACCCAGCAGGTGGTGGTGGTGTTGGTGGAGCCGTTGGGGGCCATGTCAGAATCGCTTGCATCGCATCGGGCCCCTAGGAAAGAAATGGAAGCAAACAAGGATGGGACCTGTGCCTGTCCCTCCCCTGCCGCCTACGGCGAACGCCGCAGCCTCTCGCTGCAAGCGCTGCCGCTCTGGCAGAGGCGTCCCGTCGCGGTAATGCACCTCCAGAGTCGGGAGGTGCGAGGGTACCCCCTCCGGGGGCGAGCCTCGCACCTTACACTGCTGAATCTCTCTCTGGCCTCGTCGAGGCCTAGGAGTCTAACGAATTCGCTCGGATCGAGAAGGAGAAGGAGGAGGAGGAGGAGGAGGAGGAGGAGGAGGAGGAGCCGTCCCTGCCCAGCCACCCCCGCACGGGTCCGTGGGCGATCCTGCCTCACGAACACCGTGTGCTGCAGGCCGTACAGCCCGTGCACGTCGGGGCGGGGGCCCAGCCCATTCGGAGGGGGGAGGCACCGGCAGCAGCAGCAAGCTCTCTCGAGGAGGGGGAGGGACGACACGAGCAGCGCTAGCTACTGCCCCTCCTCACGCTCACTGCTCCCGCTCGGCCTCGAAATATCCCAATCTTAACGCTGCACTCCCAGGTCTGCTTCATCCAGCACTCGTATGCATTCATGCAGACGGTCGATCTCATATCTCAAGTAGTGAATCTGGCTGTCGATGTTGCGACGCGTGGTGATGCGGTCAGCCTCGAGCTGCGTATCATTCACGACTGGGATCAGAATACTCTCCCTCTGGAGCTGGAGGAGGCTGAGCTGGCTGTTCAGGAGACTGCACTGACCAAGAATCGTAGAGTAATGCTCACGCAGCAAGCGGCCTGTCGTAACATGGGCCTGCTATGCTGATTGGACTCTGACCTGGTCTGTCTGGTTCCTGCGGGTCGGTGCTGCCTTCGAGCGAATCGGTCCTGGCGGGCGCACGCTTGTAGGCTGTGGGACTGGCACTGCATTTGCTCCTGTAGCGATTGTCGGCGCCGTCCCCGCAGAGGCAGCTGTCCCCGTGGAGTGTGCCGATTTAGACGCCATGGCGAACAAACGATAATGATGTGCTGGCGATCTGTGCAGTGCAAGTCCCTCTGCAGCTCGATCAAGACGGCTACTCTCAGCAAACACATCAGGAATTCTCTTCTCATACCAATCGTGTGGTGCGGGTGCGTCATCAAAAACGTATTGTCCATTTAATATGTATACTGCAACTGTTGGGACATCTGACGCCTAACGAATTCTAGTGCTCTGACTAGCTGCCCGACTCTCTGCACCCCATTGTCCCGCATCATGTAGATATTGGCGAGCTTACGAGGGTCACGGGCCAACACGCGCGTGCTGCATCACACTCTCTGGAAATTCCTCAATTGTCGTTCCACTGCCCTCTCCAGCTCCGTCCTGGGTCCCGCTCCCGTCGGCTTGGATCCCCCCGCTTTGATCAGCCCCAGGGTGAAGGCGCTCCGGAAGGCTCTCATGTCTACCGTGGGAACTTGAGCTGGGGGTCCCGTGGCCAGGTGGATCACCGTCCTGAGGTCGGGGATCATGTTGAGCGAGTACTGAAGTTTTGCCTTGCGCTCCCTCCTGCTGTGGCGCTCCGTCTGGGCTGTAGCACTCCCGCAGTCGGAACATCCTGAAAAACTCGTCCACGTATGCTTTCCCGTACTCCTCTGGACCTGCTGCCTCCATCCACGACGCGAGGACCTTCTAGGCTTCTCCCTCGGCCCCCTCGTCCCCGACCGCGTCGTGCATCGCCCCGATCACCCCCGCCGCTACGTGCACGTGGGGGGGCCCCAGCTTGTGTCCCTTGCCCGCCTCTTTGACTGCCTGGTGGTACTCCTGTCCAGCCTCGAAACCTTCTCGGTCGAGCGAGGCTGTGCGTGGAAGGATCCAGAACTCGGTGCAAATGTTGGCCATGTCTCTCTGCTCTGCTGCTACGCGGAGGGTTAGCTTCTGGACAGTGATCAAGGCTTGCTGGAGTTCGGGGGCTGCGGCGACGTTGTCTGCTCTCACTTGCTTGTGCCCCCTGCCACCTCCTCCTTACCCAGCTGGCTGCTGGCCCCCACCGCTGCTGTCCGCTCCGCCTGTCCCCTCCACTGCCCTCTTCTTCTTCGCCGACACTCAAGAAATCCGCATCTCTGCCAAATCGCACTGTGTAAGGTCCAGGGTGGTGGCCAGTGACGTGTGTCCGGAAATCGTCGAAGCTGCTGGCGTGATATTGGCAAACACTACAGATCAACTCGCTCTCGCTTACTTCCATCAGCTTGTGTTCAAACTTCGAGAAAGCAATGTAACACATGCCCGTCCCCTCTGCCGCTCGTGCTGCGTGATCTGTTGCTACTCTCTTACTGGAGAAGTTGGATCTGCACCATGGACATTGGTTCGTGATCACAAGCTTAGGGATGAGCGGCTCTATCTTGTGCTGTACTCTCCTATGTGCAGCCAGGGCCGCTGCTGTACGAAATCTACATCCGCACACGTCGTCTGCTCCCTCCGAAATTACGCTCCGAAAAGCGCACCATAATATTTTATCCAGTTCTGCTGGGTTATCTGCTGCTGGCTCTGTAGGCATAACACTGAAGGGTCCGTCTTAAGCCACTTCTCTTGTTCGTCAGATCCAGCTGTACATAAACTCATGTCGCTGGATCTTTTATCATACCATTATTTAAACTCTTCGTCATGATTAGCTAGGTAACGCATGTTCTCGAGATCCTGCTTGGCCGAAGGTGTGGGCTGCCTAATGTTCTTGTGCTCTGTGATGCGCTTCACTCCTATGCTCTGGTCACTCTTGGATGTGCCGAAGACTGCTGCTAGGACTGCCTCATGGTCGTTCGGGAATTGCGACCAGCGCTGGTACCACTTTAGTGTTCTGACCCTTAGCTCGTCTGCGCTCCTGTTGATCCTCCGGTCCCTGAGCACCTCCTCCATTGTCGTCGTCCTCTTCCTTCCTTGCAACAGTTCTATCCTCTCGACAGGTACCTGAGTAGCTTGCACAGAGTAATGTCGATCGCATCCGTGTACTTCTTACTAATGACGAAACATGATAACCCGCTCAATGCCGCTCCCACGATAAAAGCCATAAACATGCTATGCTTAATTACCTTCGAAGTCTTGGACGACCAGAACGTGCTACACTGCCTCCATGCTGCATTCGCCGCATCGCAGCGTCTCCTTATTTCGTTTCCTAGTCCCTGGTCCGACGGTACGTAAGGCCCCAACACCCTCATCTCTCTCAAGGCCTCTCCCCCGAGTCCACTCGTCTGCTTCCTCAGTGCTCGCGTGCATTGATAGCTTCGCTCACCTCGTAAAGCTAGAAGATGGTTTGTGTTGTCAGGGTTGAGGCGCCAGTTTCCTGCTGTTAGTGCCTTCTCGAGTCTACCGCTTACCAGGTTGACCTGCTCTACCACGTCTTCTTTTCTTGCTGCGACTGGTAGCATCGTAATCTCAGTAATATCATCCATGGAGGTGCTAATGCTCAAGCCGTAGTACCGCTGGTTGATGAGATGCTGGGCATCATTCACCTGCTGTCCTTCCTGTTCTCTTCCTCCCTGGGGCCAGCCCGTGACGATTGGATTACAGCTATCATTATAAAGTCACGCGGAGCGAGCGCGAGGCCCACCGGGGCCCCTTTGTTGCTTTTCAAGTCCACTCTCTCGTCCTCCTCCTCCTCCTCCTCCTCCTCCTCCTCCTCCTCCTCCTCCTCGTCCCCCTCCTCCTCCTCCTCCTCGGCTGCCTGTAGGGACAGAGCTGTGTGCTCCAACGCGCCGTAGGCGTACGGAAGATCAGACTCCTCCGTGGTGCGATCGATCCGTTCCCGTAGTATCCCTGTTCGTCGAGGCGACTGCGTTTGTGCAGTCGAAGTTGCTCATCCACTCCGTGGCGAGCAAGACGAGTACTGCATTCTCTCGTGACCGCTGTGCTGACCCTCCGTGAGCAGAGCGAGGTCGGACAGTAGGCGGCGCTCTTCGGTGGCTCCCACTGTGCCGTGCCATGCTGGCTGCGCAGTGTGCGTGCATGATGCGCTTCCCCGCAATGCCTATCTTATTGTTCGCTTTCTCGGCTGCAGAACTGTGCGGTCGTAACATGTCTAGTGGCACAGCCTGGCATTGTCTGAAGTGCCCCATGATCCTCAGCAGCATCTTCGGTGCCCCGTACTCTAGGTCTTGAAACAGATGCATCCCAACTCCCGATAATTCCGTTCTGCCAAACTGCCAGTGGGGATAAGCAATAATGTCTTGTGCTGGTTCGCATGCGGCGCATTGACGTGCTCCTAGTGTTTCACTTGGGTTCCAACTTAACTTCTGGAGAAGCTTCCGCCCTTTGTCTAAGAGGAAGTGCGTGCTGTGCTTCTCGAGCTCCTCCTGATCCTCATCTTTCTCAGCTTCTCTGATCCGCTTAGCTTCTAGTCTCTTTGTTTGCTTGGCCGACCCAGGCAAGTTTATATTTGGCTCGATCAGCATCCACACGATTTCTACTGGGAGCCCCCATTCAGGACATGCACGTCGTTTTTTTGCCTCTCTGCAGAAAGATGTCATGGCCCAGAGATCCTTTTGTATTCTAATTTTTAGGTCAGCATCAGAGGGCAATACAGGGAGGTCACCATCGTCGAGCTCGCAGTCGTTCGCGTAATCCTGCCTAGTCCGCTCCCAGTCGAGCGGGGTACACGCTAGCCCTCCGTCA